TGTCCTGGCAGAAACGGCGAAAAAAGGCTGAGCTCGGAGTCCTGGGCTAGGACTGAGACGATGGCGCTGTTAGGGCGATAGCAGAAAGCTCGTAACAGAACAGCTTCCGTAGAACCCAGAGAAGGGTAAAGGGGCACAGTTTCGAACCCCCCCTCCCCATTCTTTTCACAAACGAGTGTTGGGGCTAAAGACACCCACTTTCTCCTCCTGCCCTTGGAAAACCGGCAATCGGAGACCTAGCGGCCGTACCCCAGGCGGCCTGAATGGAAATAGGATGCGGGGTTCGAAGTAGGGTCTGATGTCGCCTGTAGTTGGGAGCCAGACACGGATTCTCGTCCGCGGGCTGGGAACGCGGTGGAGATTGTTGGCCTTGTGGGGTCTGCAGTGTGGACTCAAACAAGCCCTGGGTCCTGGGTATTCCATACGCTCTGGTGTAAAGTGTACGATGAGAGGTGATTTCTTGTAATCAGTGGTCTGAGAGTCACGTCATTTTCCATCGGTTCCCCACTACATGGGAGGGGGTTATCGCCGTTGTTAAGAACATTTTGACATGCGATAGGGCTGTGGATCCCGGTCAGTTGAGACCTTTTCTATTCCTTTCCTTCAGAAATGCCCGGTGAAGCCACAGAAACCGTCCCTGCTACAGAGCAGGAGTTGCCACAGCCCCAGGCTGAGACAGGTAGGTTTCCTTGGCCCCCTTACTGTGGATTAAGATAATTTTGTGGGGAAAGTGACAGTAAATCTGCTTTTGCCTTTTGGAAATTTCGCATTCTTTTAAGAAAATGAGGCTGTAGCTTTAGCAGAAAGGGGCGGTCATAGAACTTATTTCTGTCCTGAAGGGACTGCAGCAGGCCGGGGGGGAGAGTCTCTTTAAGGACTGAAAAGCTACCCTGGCTTCTTTGTCGTTTATGCCCGTTGTCTCAAAAGGAATTCTGCTGTGTTAACACACCCCACCCACACCCCCCTACCTCACATAGGAAAACGGAACGGAGAAGAGTCTCAGTGATTCTGAACAATTTGAACAAATAGGCCAAGGAGACCTGAGCTTTTGTGAAGTTCCAGCCAGCAAAGTTGCATCAAGGTTTTAGATAGCCGAGCTTGGCATTGTGCCTTCATCACATGTCTGGATGAGTATTAGTGGTAGAATGTGGCCTGCTGGGCCCCTGGGTCTCTCTGGGTGGATTAATTTATTTGGATTGGTCCTGAGATGTTTCTAGTGTATCAGAACAGTGTCGGCACCAACACTTTTTCTTCAAGCCAGGGTTGTAATAAAGCCTTTCTTCAGCTGTCTTTCATCTCAAAATTATTGAGTACAGCACAGTATGATGGCAGGTGTTTTTTGACTCCTAATGAAAAACTGAGGGTTGTAACAGAAATGTGTTACCTTGGTCATGTCAGGAGGTGCCAGTCCTTGGAAAAAGACAACATGCTTGATAAAGTAGAGAGTCTTCAAAAGAGGGGAAGGCCCTAGATGACATGGATTTACTCAGTGACTGAAAAGATTGGTTTAAGCATGGTGGAAATTGTGAGGATGGAACAAGTTTTTTTGATCATACTTCACAACAGAACAAGGAAATTCTCAATCTTCCCTTGGGGGGTCACTTGTGTATATGAAAATATATCTGTATAAATGAATGAGTTGCTTAAAGATGGAAAATGGTTTCTCTCACTTAAAGGCAGTTAGGGAGTTAAAACATAAGACATAGTGGTTTATGGTTGAAATACTAAAATCCATCCTCTCCACCTGTCTGATTTAGCAGCTGAAGGGATTAACGCAGCTGCTAAAACAGAAGTATTTGAGGTCTTTAAATGACGAGAGAAAATAAAGGACTGATCTCTAAATAGACTGTTCACAGAAGAACTTAATTTTACAAAGATGGAGACTTAAAGTTGGAATCTGAATTCTCAAGTTTTAAAACTAATACTAGTTATTGCTTAACCAGTCATATTTCTAAATGACATGAGTATTAATACTATGTGACGTGCTAGATTTTGTTTATAGATGAGATTAATCAAAATGTGTGAGAAAATTGGTTGTGATGTCTATGTCAAAGCAAATGATTTGAGCCTCACTGTTGAGTTAAAAACATTTCATGGCTTATATTTTAGTTAGCCTGTTTAAAAGCTTTTCACTGTAATTATAGGCATGGCCCTGGAAACTCCAGGAAAAACTGGTTGAGCCACCTGTTTCTGTTGTAGGATACTTATAAAAACAATAAATGGTTGGATTTTTGCTATGGGATGGGGTTGAGTCTCTTCTTGGGTTTGATCTAAGCTTGTTTAACCTCTGAATGGCAGGCACACTATTTTTTTCCCCTCTTCCAGAAAACTTTTCTTTGTTTCATTACCAAATAATGGTTTGGGCTTAATGAAATTGGGTTACTGTTTCATAGTACAGTCCCTCCCCTTGTGACTAAGCTGGCTCTGTGGAGGTCTAATTTTTCTTGGACTGATGTCTGAACTAACATTTTCTAAGAAGGTATATAGAGATCAAAGGATCTAACCCATATGTAATCTTTGGGGCAATCTCATGTGCGATTAACTACCTCTGAAAACCTGCTGGAGGGTCAGCTATGGGTGCTTTCCAACTTGACGGGTACACAGCAACAAATTGAGGCATATGTCTAAGTGACAAAAACTTGATTCCTAGTATTAAAATCTGAAGAATTTAAGCCTCAGGAATATTTTATTCTGCCAGTGACTCTAAAAGTGTTTTAACAAGGTCAGATTTTTCCTGGTTTAATGGAAACCTGGAAGTACAGTTTTTCTTCTTTCAGCTCTGATTTCCCCATAAATATCATCACTCACTATCCTCCTTGTTACAGTTTTCAGTATCTAGTTAGTTTGTTATTCTTGAGTGGGCAGAATGACATAGCTGTTTTCCAGTGGTAACTTTGTTTCCTGTAAGAAAGTTCTTTTAAGGAAGAAGAGAGAAAAGACAGGTGAGAAAGAGTAGAAATGCATGTTCCTCTACCAACTCCTGGACCTGTGCTCCCCATTTAGAAGTTAAATGGGCCTTGATCTCTTCTTATCCCGATAAAAACCTTGGAAAATAAGGGAATTGCAGAGAAAGGGATATTCTCACTTGACCTCTGAAAGTATTTTGGGGAAGGTTGTTGCCTATCACTGTAGTTTAATCCTTTGTGGTGACTTTCAGATTTAAAAAATATTTCCTGTGAGGCATGTTGTACAAAGTTGGGCCTGCTTAACTCACCTTTGTTTTTTCCTTCCCTTTCCTTCCTTATCACCCTATCTCTCTTCCCCCACCCTCCTTTTCTTTGCCAGCTATCCTTCCTGTGTCTTCACCTTTGAGTGTCACTGCTGCCTTGGGGCAGCCTGGACCTACCCTTCCTCCTCCATATGCCCTGGCCCCCCAACAGGGCTCTCTGACAACCATTAACCAGCCATCCCTGCCCCTGTTCCCAGCTCCCTCTAATATTGCCTCAACCCTTTCTGAAGTTACTTTTACTCAGTCATCCCTTAGTATAGGCCTGCCTCTGGGGGCTTCCACTTCCCCCTCTACTACCCCAACTTTCCTACCAGACTTAATAGGGCCTCCTATCTCCCCAGCTGCCTTAGCTCTAGCCTCTCCCATGATAGCTCCAGCTCTGAAAGGTGCCCATTCCTCTTCAGCTCCCTTGGCTCTGGTGGCCTTGGCTCCCCCTGCAATTCAAAAAAACACTCCTGTCCCAGCTAACCCTGTGACCTCACCTCCAGTAGCTGTTGCTGAGTCAGTGTTAACATCTCTGTCAACTCCCAGTGCTCCCTCAGACCCAAAGGCTGCTGCTTCTATTCAAGTGCACTCCCAGGCAGTCCCTAATCCCATAAATACCCCTAGCCCCCCAGGCATGGTCTCTGTTCAGTCTGGAGTAACCACCTGCCCTTTGGTGCCACCTGTTACTCCCCTAGCCATCACTTCACCTCAGGTCAAAGGCATCCCTGTTCCCTCAATTCCAGCTTCTTCACAAAACCTTAGCCTTGGTCCACCTGCAACCTTAGCTCTTTCAGCCCAACCTGTTCCTGTGGCCACTTATCAAAAGACTGTGCCTCCCAGTGACCCACTTTTCCTCACTTCTCTAGACTCTCATCTTACACCTTTACATCACAGCTCTTTTGGTCCTTCTGTCCAACCTTTAGGTCAAACAGATCAAAGTATTCTCTCAAATCCTACAGTAGCTAACATTACTGTAGGTCATTCTCCCATGGGAGTCTCTTATCCTCCTCAGAGATCTATAAATTCTCCCCATCCTTCCAGAAAAGAGGTCCTTCCTGCTGTTGGGGTTGCTTTTCCAGTGGGGACTCCGACTGCCCCTCTGCCTCTGAATGTTGATGCTGACCCTTCTCCCGTGCCTAAACTATCTCCCCAAAGCCCATCTGGCTCCCCTTTATCTCCTCCAGTCTCTCTCCTCCATAGTTCACCTAATGCCACTTCTCAGCCTTTGGTGTCCCAAGTTCCTGTTGCATTTCCAGGAAGTCCAAGTTTAAAAGAAGCTCCTCTCTCTTCTCTTGGAACCTCTTCACTTGTAATGACTAATCCTTCTACAGTTTCCGTAATACCTGCTTTTGAGGTAGCTACGTGTCTATCTCCTCCAGTTTCCTCGAGTTCCGTAAGTAATAAGGGCTCGACTTCCAAAGAGCTTTCTACTCCTCAAGTATTAACTTCTCTGGCAATACGATCCTCTCCTCAGATGCCAACCCCGGAAGACCCCAAAAGTCTCCCTACTTCAGTATTGGTAAAGCTCCCAAATGAAACCAATTTTCAAATGGCAGTTACCTCTCCCATAGGAGACCCTGTTTCATCAGCCCAGGCAGGACTTCCTATCAAAAAAGACCTGGCCTTGGCAGTCACTGAAGATGATTCTTCCCAGAGTACTTCTTTGGAGATGTGTCTGTCCCCTGAGGCAAAGAAAAGCCTTATCAAGTCTCTTCCTGTAGTTCAGCCAGCAAGTGCTGCTGCTTCTCCTCAGGATGTTCTTAACTCCCCAACTTCTATAATCAAGATGAATCCCTGTGCAAACCCAGATCCTACTACTCTGCACCTCAAAAGCTCTCCCACTACCCCAACATTATCTTCCACCTGCATTTCAAATAAGATGGATCCTGCTACCCCTGCTGGGATGGCTCTTGTAACTGCTAAAGGTACCTCTACTTCTACAACTACAGCCAGCCCTTTTCTGGAAGGAGCTGTTGCTTTAAGTCCTAAAAGCCACCAAGCAAAAAAGGATGCTTCTGCTCTTTCTCCTTTACTTTCAGCCTCTGAAAATTTTCCACTGACTTCATCCTCTCAGGGTGATATTTCTACATTTCCTGCTACCTTAGCATTGGCCCCTGAAATTCCGAAGTCTGTACCCTTTTCCTGTCTTCACCCAACTGACACTCATCTTCCAGATACAAACAAAGTTAATGCTATTTCTTATTCTTCAAGTGTAGTACCTGCAGTTTCTTCTCATGAAAGGCCCCCAAGTGAGGCTTCTGCATATTCCAAAGTAACACTTTCTTCCCTAAATGACTCTCCATCACCTTTAAAAACCACAGTGTCTCTTCAGAGCAAAAGACCTTCAACCCAGAAGGATTCCACTATTTCCCCTACAACCTTGACTCTTGTTCCTTCTGTTTCTCCACTCGAAGCTTCCCTTCTTCCCGAGGCCAGTCTTTGTTTTCAGTGCCCTACAGGTTCACCAACCAAGAATCATTCGCCAACTCTTCCATCATGCAGAGGGACTCCTATTTCCCCACCTCCTATTCCTCCCTCTCCTAAGGAGGCCCCTGCTATCCCATACCCCAAAGATACCCACACTTCCCTAGCTGTGAGTCCTCCCTCTGCCATAGGGCACCTTGGGGTACTATCCCAAAAAAAGAGCCCCACTCCTTCAACTGTGGTTGTTCCTCCTTCCAAAGAGGCCTCAGCAGCACCATCTCCTAAGGAAGGACCTACTGTCCCACCTTTGACTCCTCCCTTCTCCAAACCAACACCATCCCCCAAAGGGGACCCCACAACCTTACCTGTGAACCCTCCCTTTATCAGAGAGGCCTTACCAGCCCCACCCAAAAAAAAGAGCTCTACTCCTTCAGGTGTGGTTCCTCCCTCTTCCAAAGAGACCCCAGCAGCAGTATCCCCCAAAGAAGGACCCACTACCCCACCTGGGACCCCTCCCTCTGTCAAAGAGGCCTTATCAGCCCCAACCCCAAAAAAGAGCTCTACTCCTTCAGATGTGGTTCCTCCCTCTTCCAAAGAGGCTCCAGCAGCACCATCCCCCAAAGGGGGCCCCAGTGGCCCATCTGTATCCCCTCCCTCTTCCAAAGATGACCCCATTATCCCATCTGTGGCTGCTCCTTCCCAAAAGGCCCCAGCAGTACCACCCCCCAAGGGGGGCTCCAGTGCCCCACCTGTGACCTCTCCTTCCAAAGATGCCCCAGCAGCACCATCCCCAAAAGGGGGCCCCAGTGCCCCACCTGTGACTCCTCCCTCTGCCAAAGGTGCCCCAGCAGTACCATCCCCCAAGGGGGGCTCCAGTGCCCCACATGTGGCCTCTCCTTCCAAAGAGGCCCCAGCAACACCATCCCCCAAAGGGAGCCCTATTGCCCCATCTGTACCCCCTCCCTCTTCCAAAGGTGACCCCATTATCCCATCTGTGGCTGCTCCTTCCCAAAAGGCCCCAGCAATACCATCCCCCAAAGGAGGATCCAGTGCCCCACCTGTGACCCCTCCTTCCAAAGAAGCCCCAACTGCACCATCCCCCAAAGGGGGCCCCAGTGCCCCACCTGTGACCTCTCCTTCCAAAGATGCCCCACCAGCACCATCCCCCAAAGGGGGCCCCAGTGC